CATGGCTTGAATCAATAAGGGGGATATTTACAAGGATTGAAAGAGGGTTAGGGTTTGCTTAAATGCATTCTTTCATATACTTGAGGAAGGGGATTTCAAATCATGCAGTTATTGAAGGGGCTTTGAAGTAGTTTATTGTGGTCTCCATTTCATCGGTTGCGCAGTCGATTGGATCTTGGTCGCTAAAATTGGGGGAAAAGAGTGGGTATCTAGGATGCCAAAGTTGGAAATATCCGACTGTTGTACTATGACGTTGGTTTTATCTTGAAATCATTTCACTGTTACAACACCGTTCCCTCCATTTTATTTTATGCCTATAGGAGTCGATTAATTAAATTACTAAAGGTGTGGCTAGAACTGCGGGTTCGGTGATTGAGGCATTGTGTTAGTGTCTAATAACAAGAAACACTGGATGCAATATAATTTGATATGCCCAAAATATGAATCATTTTGGGCATGAGTTTAGGAGTTGACTGATACGTGGCGAGTAAACTTGGATAGTGGAGTATTTACCCTTTGCTTTACGAAAAATGCCGTATTTTTGCGTAAAACACTCGTTTTCCATCGCTAATAAAAGCATGAAGCACCGGATGAACGCTTTCACAAGCAACTCGTAGTGATATTAATAATTTTGCCTATTAATAGAGTGCTTTGCAATTGGCTAAGTGTCTGTTCGACCCACTATGTTCAATCGGTAATTCTGTTCGACCTTCATACAGTTTGGACAAAACTTACACATAGCCTCTATGAGTGACGCCTCTTTTAATTTCCAGAACTCTCCATAGGGCGATTAGTGCAAGGATTCCAGCTGCTCCGCTTGCCATTATTCCCAGAAATTCAGCTAAAATGGACGAAAGATACTTGCTACTTTTAACCATAAGTAGTATGTTTATATACAGCTTTTTTCTGTTCATCACGTAGTTTGATGGCTAATGCACATTCCATTATGTCGTATTCTTTCAAAAATAACATGTTGTTTAGGAATTAATCAAATACGTTTTTATCTACAATTTGTTCATATTTTACTATGAATTAATTTCACCTCTCTCGACGTATTGATTAGTTTTGCTATTTCGTTATTTGTACTTGGAACTAAAGGACAATACCTTTCGAATTTTTTAAATTTTTTTTCTCTAGCGATTACTGATTACTTCTAAGCGTTGTTTGAAATGTATTATTTCAAACTTACATATTGGTGACGTGATTGCTTCGAAGGAAACGAACTCCGTTAAAATTGGTTTCTCGTCTGGGTTCATTTTGATCCTTAGGGAAACGAAGCTGAAAAAAAAACGTTAAGGTTTGGGAAGCATTTGCCAGTGAATAAACATCAAAATACGCCTGGAGAGTATTTATTTATTTCAAATGGCAGTCTTTATGATAGTTATCATTAACCCTAAAACTTTGACTTCAGCTTCCCCCAAGGGTGGGGGG